GAAAAGAGGTGAGGCGGATAGGTTTTGATTTGGTGAAGGAGATGGCAGCAGCAGATCAGATTTGCACGTTTGTAAAAGTCCTTCAAGGATTCTCCAGGCTTCAAGAAACAATACATGAAAAGGTAATCAATTCAGAGACTGATAAGAAGATTTTTTTTTTTTAACAAAAAAAAGCACCTAAAGCAACATTCAGGTACAAAATTCAAACAATGCAAACTACTGTCAGCAAGTGCAAGCAAATTTCAATTCCTCGTGCAAGACCAAAGACCTTATGATGTAAAGATATTTACATACGATTCATGAATTGGAAATTAATATTTTTCTAATCCAGATCATATCTACAAAGAATAAAAGGAGTACCATAGGCGTTCTCTAAGAATCAGAAAGGCCAAGACTTGCTCTGATTTGCTCTATCCTGGCCCATTTTGATTTGGTGAAGGAGACGGCAGTAGAACTAAAGAAGAGTAGTGAGGCGGCCGCTTTCTCTTTGGCTTCTTTCGGTCTTTGCTCTTCTAGGTTTAGGTTTTATGAAATGAAAAGTCAGTGTCTCGGTGGTATCAGTATGTATAATAATACTTACCAAAAAAAAAAAAGAAAATAAAAAACATAAGGTATGTGACTTTATATATATATATATATATATATATATATATATATGCTGGAAAAAGTAAAGATATAAGATATTGCTATATATTAATATTATATATATATATGTGTGTGTGTGTGTGTGTGTGTGTATTTTACGGATTGCCAAGGATTGGATTCACGGATTAGATCGGATTTTTGACAGCCTAATCCGTGATCCAATCCGTGAACTACGGATTCAATTTTTTTAAATCTGCCACCGATCCGTGGGTCTGGTAATCCGATCCGCGGATTCGCGAATTTTTTACCCACCCCTACTTGCATGGTCTTCTTCTCCTCCTCTCAATATGATCATCATAATCATTCCAATCAAATCTCCTTTTTTGGGTGTAAGAATTGGTAAATCCAAGAGAGAGCGTGGAAGGTGCAACAGTTTCAGATGATCGACTCTATCATATTTCAACACCGATAACACCATCAAATCGTAGACGGCGATCTTCTGGCTCTCACCATCAAATCGCTGACGGCCATGCAATACTTCCTATATTTTTCTATCTGGTTCCAACTTTCCTTTCTTATTACTTCTTTGCAATAAAACCACAATCAAAATATTTCAGTACTAGAGGACCGGTTGATTTCCTTGAAATTAAACTTTATTCCCTTTCCAAATTATTAGAAAACTGGTTGATTTTCTTGAAATGCTAGTTGGAAATGATAGAAATAAGTCTCTCCATACTTGAACTTACCAATTCGTTCTCTACCGAGGCTTGAACTATACTCACATTAGAAGGAAATTTATAATTCAATTACTACGTCTACATGTAAGTAACTCTGATAAAGTAACAGCAATGTCAGCAAGTAGATTAATCGATAACATTGTTTTCAGGCATGGCTGGCTATGGAAGATTCCAAAAATGTAAAATCATTACTATAGTTCCTCTTAATGACCAAGTCAAACAATTGAATAGATATCATTTAGGTTTGCATAAAAAAAGGGTAAAAAATAAAAAATAAAATTATTTTTCCAGTAAATGTTTAGATTTGCTTCAATTGAATGCTACATTTTTTTAAAATATATATATATATATACACACATCCATAATCGCAATAAGGACATGGTTGTGTTGAAACTGTGGGTTAACGCCATCCGGTCCCTGTCCAAGCTTCTATAAACGCTGATAAGTTGAATTATGTGATTGCCTTCTTCTTTTTTTCTTTTTCTGTTTTTTTTTTTTTCTTCAGATTTTTGGAAGTTATTGGGAACATGGATGGTGAGAGTGAGATGGTGGTGGCTTGGCTATTTATGCTAAATTCCAATGTCCAGACTCCACCTTCACTTTGCTCTCTCTTTTTTCCTCTGTTCTAATTCCATGTACATGTCCATATGATGATATGTGGCATATATGTATAAAATAACTTCATCCATTTTTTTTATTCTATGTTATATATGTATATATATGTGTGTGTGTTTATATACATTTATGTATATGTATATATGTGTGACTGGTGGTGGTGCTGGCCATTGTATATGTATATATGTGTGACTGGTGGTGGTGCTGGCCATGGTGGTGGTGGTGGTGGTGGTGGTGGTGGTGATTGATGGGTGTGTGGACTAGGGACAATGGCTATTTTGGTCACTTAACATAATTTTTTTAGGTAATTAAAGTTAATTTTATATATTAAATAATTTTTTAATAATTCAACACAAACTTAAATTGACAACTTACATGTAAAAAATGATCTGACATGTTTACCAAACTTAAAGGAATATCAATAAAATAATTAATCCTTTTATATAAAAAGTATCATGAAACAAAACAGGCTAGTTATCACTAGCATTCTGGAGATCACATAAGTATTATGAGAATCTCCGGCATGGCTCATATATAGACTTGCATGGTTCAAAATCCGACTCACCAAGGGTATGGTATATCGCATTTCCATAATACGTTTATTTCTCACATAACACTCTCCCATCTATTTACATCCTTATGTATTTATAAACCGTCATCCTCTTTAATGGAGGATTAAGATAGGATCTATAACTCTTCCCGTAAATATTCTAGATATTTATTAACTCTAAAAAAATCTCAATATTTTGGAGTTGTACAACTTTCTCAGCACTACACCATTATTTTATAACCTCAACTCTTCGGTCACATATGCCATGCACATGCTCTCACGTGTAACCTATGTGACAATTGATAGTGCTTTTTAGTTTTCAAGATGATTAATAATTTTTTAAAAAAAAAAAAGTGAAAGGAAAAATGGAAAAAATATATTTTTGCTTATATTTTATTTTTCTTCTCAAGCTTCTCACTTCTATTTTTTCTTTTCTAAATCGTTGTTTGCTAATCTTAGTTTTGCTTATATTTAAGTAGAGATTATTTGTCAGGTTATCGGATCGGGTCAGGCATGATCCGGTCCGTTTACGTAAATACCCTGATTAATAAATTGAAAGAAACAATTAATGGGGTTGGTTTTCCCAAAATTGATTAATTACCAAAAAAAAAAAAAAATTATAATAATAATACAAAAATTCATATACAATAAACCTTATGTAATCAGCTCTCGCCGGAGGTGAAGCACTATGCGTCCGCAGGCCAGGTTCGGGGAAAAAGTGAGCGATGATTGCCAGAATTTCAACAACGATTGCGTGGATCAAGAATTACTGGAACTCTACAAATTAAATTACTCCTTATATAGCTTTATTGCTTATTATATATATATATATATATCTATATATATACATCGTGTCCTCTCCTCCCCCATACCACCATGCCGCTAAGCTCCATAAACACCGGCGATATGTTCTGCATCAATGCATACAAAAGAAAGAAAACCAAAGCAAAATCTTTAGACTTTAGCCAGAAACTCTCTCTCTCTCTCTAATGATGGTGTTAGCAAGTCGGAGCTAATCAATCAACCGTTTGATTTACAATCATGTTCGATTCATGTCTTTTTCAACTGATAATGGAGATCAATCGAAAAAACTCATTTCCAAATCAAGGTTTGAAAATCTCATCCATCAATACACACTACCTTTAATTGATACCATGCGTGGTCTCAATCTCAGAAACCGTTGTAAGACCACCCAAGGCCACGCTTTAAGCCCCCCAGATACCTCCGCTGCTAGTAGTACCACCGCCAGTGGCTGCGCCGGCAAGTTCAACCACCACCACCACTGGCAAGGCAACCTAACTATCAATTCCATTTTATCGAATTCTAATGACACTAATTCAGTGTCAATGGCCGAACCTCTTCTTCCTTATTGACTCCCCACAACTGACCTTCTTGAGCCACTCATAGATCCTCACCTCAAATCCGTTGATTTTGTGGAAAATCTAGCTGACCTCTATCGCCGTCTTGTGGGTTGTCCTGTATCCAGTAAATCATTGATGTGCCTTGAGCAGTACTCGCTCTTGTGCAGCCATGGTGATCCAAAGCTGCTACGGTTAATCTTTGTGCTTTTGGTTATGGTTTTGTTAATCTGTGGGTCGCATTTGTAGAGAAGAGAAAGAATGGTTTTGATCTGTAGAGAAAAGAGAGAGACAAACAAGCGTCCTTGAGGAGAAAGAACGTTCGATACAGATAGAGATATAAGGGGTATAAAAGTCATTTACGTTAAATGTGATTAAAAAATTAAGGACAAATATGTCTGATAGTTATTTTCAAATTGACCAAATTACTGGAAGTGTCCCTTAAAAAGTATGATGAAACAAACAGGCTAGTTACTTTGCAATTACTGAGGCGGGTGTGATAGACTTAGATGGTTCAAAATCCGGTTCCACAAGCATTGTGGAGATCACATAAGTATTATAACAATATCCGCATGGCTCATGTATAGACTTGAATGGTTCAAAATCCAACTCACCAATGGTATAGTATATCGTATTTCCATAATACTCTATTACTCAAATAACACTCTCCCATCTATTTACATCCTTATGTATTTATAAACCGTCATCCTCTTTAATGGACAATTAAGATAGGATCTATAACTCTTTCCGTAAATATTGTAGATATTTATTAACTCTAAAAAAAATCTCAATATTTTGGAGTCATACAACTTTCTCAACACTACACCATTATTTTATAACCTCAACTCTTCAGTCACGAATGCCATGCGCACGCTCTCACGTGTAACCTATGTGACAATTGATAGTGCTTTTTAGTTTTCTAGATGATTAATAATTTAAAAAAAAAAAAAAAATATGTGAAAGGAAAAATGGAAAAAATATATTTTTGTTTATATTTTATTTTTCTTCTCGAGCTTCTCACTTCTATTTTTTCTTTTCTAAATCGTTGTTTGCTAATCTTAGTTTTGCTTATATTTAAGTAGAGATTATTTGTCGGGTTATCGGATCGGGTCAGGCATGATCCGGTCCGTTTACGTGCCCAGTTATATAATGCTTTGAAATCCTGATTTCCAAACGCTTCGCCAAACCCTACCCTCATCTCTATTCCGCTGGAGAGCGCGCAAAGCCGCGGAGCTGCGACACCTACTCACCAATGGTTCTCTCCTTCTGCATACACACACATTTATATATATGTTTGGGTATGTTTGTATATATATTCTCTCTTTACTTCACTGAAATCTCGTTCATTTTCACTTGCGCAGGGGATCGATCTAATCGCGGGCGGGAAGAGCAAGAAGACCAAACGTACAGCACCTAAATCTGATGATATCTACCTCAAGCTTCTCGTTAAGGTCTAAATAGTCCCTTTCTCTCTCTCTCTCTCTCTCTCTCTCTATATATATATATATATATATACGTGGGTGTCTACTTTTATCTGGTTTATGTTCTCATTCAGTGCATTTTGATTGTTCTGACGGTTGATTCTTGAACAGTTGTACCGATTTCTCGTCCGGAGGACTGGAAGCAAGTTCAATGCGGTGATACTGAAGCGCCTGTTCATGAGCAAGGTCAACAAGGCCCCACTTTCTCTCTCTAGATTGAGCCGTTTCATGAAGGAAAAGGTCTGTGACTCTCTCCCTATGTGGGTGTACTATTGTGTTTATCAGATTTTTGTATTTGAATGATGGATTTGCTTGAATTTTGTGTCTGTTGATTGATCTGTTTAGGAGGGCAAAATTGCTCTTCTTGTGGGCACTGTTGCGGATGATATTTGAGTATATGAATTTGATGGGATTTTTGTATTTGAATTTGTTGCGGGTTTATTGAATTTGTGTTGGCTGATTGATCTGTTTAGGAGGGCAAAATTGATGTTGTGGGCAATTTTACTGATGATATTATAGTATATGAATTTGTTGGGATTTTAGTAATTGAATTTGTTGGGATTTTAGTATTTGAATTGTGGATTTGCTTGAACTATGTGTTTGTTGATTTATATGTTTAGGATGGCAAAATTGCTGTTATTGTGGGCACTGTTACTGATGATATTAGAGTAGATAAAGTTCCAGCCTTGAAGGTGACTGGTTTAAGGTTCACGGAAACTGCAAGGGCAAGGATTGAGAAAGCCGGCGGAGAGTGCTTGACGTTTGATCAGCTTGCTCTTAGAGCTCCTCTGGGACAGAACACGGTATTAAATTCAAACACCATCTTTATGTTTCTTATTTAATTTTTGTCTTCCAATTTATTTTTCGTTTCTGAATCATTTATACCTGGTGCCAACTTTATTTAGTACAATGCTTGTTGTGTTTCTATTATCTGCTACGAGCAAGTCAATGTTAGTTTAATGAATTGATTTTTGAACTTGTTTTGATTGGATTTACATAGTGAAAGCATTGTGAAAACACAAAAAGGTATATTAGAAGCATTTGAGTTGGTGATTAGTTGAAAGACCTTTTTTTTGAAGCCATATCATTGCTATGTTACTCTTCAAACTCAGGAATGGAATGAGTAGGAATTAACTATGTAACCCTCATTTTAGATGAATGCAGGGTATAGTGAATAAGATTTGTTTGTTTAGTAGGTAGGAACTTCGACTGTCTGATGGTAATTATGTACCACTGAAATTTTCTAAAATTTTAATCTTTGATTTGGCCATTCAATCTTACTTCTATAGATGAATGCAGGGCATAGTGAATAAGATTGGTTTTCTAAGTATGCATGCAAGTATGGTAGGAACTCTGATCTGATGGAAATTATGTACCACCGAGGTTCTCTTTTTAAATCCTTGATTTGGCCATTGAATCTTACTTGTAATAGATGAACGCATGGCAAGATGAATAAGATTGGTTTTTTGAGTGTGGTAGGAACTCTGATCTGGTCGAATTTATGTACCGTTGAGGTTCTCTAAATCTAAAACCTTGATTTTTCCATTCAATATTTACTTCTATTAGTTTTAAAATGATGGCATAGCAGTTGTGGATCTGATCTAAAGGTTATGTAGAATTGAAAGATGTGTGTATTTCAGATATTCAAAGAAAGTTGTCGGCTACACATAAACAAATAGTTTTTAGTTTGAATAATGCTGTGGCTATTTCTTTCTTTGTCGAATGAGTTTTGAATGAAATCTGGATTTAATTTCCGGTAAAAGAAATTGCAAATGTGATGTAGCTTGCATTTGTCATTAAAACAAGAGAGAGAGAGAGAGAGCCAATAAGGTTCAGGGGTCTGAAACTGATACGTTATCTTGGGTGAATCTGCAGGTTCTCCTCAGAGGACCAAAGAATGCACGTGAGGCAGTGAAACACTTCGGTAAGGCTCCTGGTGTGCCACACAGCCACACCAAACCATACGTGCGGTCAAAGGGGCGGAAGTTTGAGACAGCCAGAGGAAGGAGGAACAGCAGAGGATTTAGAGTTTGAGTTATTATTCTACTTAATTTTGAGGCAAATTTATCATTTTAATTGTAGCAATCCAAATTTTGCATGACATTTAGGAATCTTTGACAATTGCTTATGTTTGTTTCTTGTTCATTATATATCCTGTTGCACTGTTAATTTACTTGGAAAATTGATGTCTTGATTTGAGACATAAGTAACTTCTCTTTCATTCTCAAGTGGTGGGGGGTTGAAGCATTTTCATCTTTCTGATACAAATTGACATGCTTTGAATCTGCTCAAAGGGCTTGCAAAATTTCCTATTTAATCTTCGACGGCATGTATTGGGCGAGTAATGATGCCAATAGAATGATAGATTACTGTCTCTAGGTTGATGAAAGGTTATTAGTTTCTGGCAGATTATTCTATATGCCTTGTGAGCTTGAGAAATTCTATAGCACTGAACCCACTTGTTTTGTTGTGCTTGGCTTGGGTGTTAGTCGCTTATTTGTACATTTTAGTTGGCATAGTCATCTGAAAAGTGCGAACATGTTGAATTGGTGGAAGCAAAATTTTATACCACCTCCGTCCCTTTAGTTCACAGTTTACAAAGCGGACAACAAAGAAGGGTCGGAGGTAGTATTTGCCTTTGAAAAGCTTCAACGCTTCCTCCGGTATCTGATATAACCATCTGCTTTGCGCTTTCGTATTGTTAAATTTGCCTAGTTACTATGTCGCAACTTGGTATGGTTGAACTCTGCCCAATTCGAGGGCTTGTGCTGTTTATTTCTAAAATGCCAGAGTATGATAGTCTGCATTTATTTCTGAATTCTGATACATCAACATACATCAAATGAAAACTCGAAAACTGAGAGGAGAGAAAAAAGAAGTGAAAGAAAGGAATAGTAGTGTAAGCTCTCCATTGTGACACATTTTATTGACAGAAAAGATAAACTGACAAACTGCTTAGGTAATTAAAAGTAGAGATTGTCTACATTTACCTTCTTATTGCAGGACTTTCTCAAACTACTAGTTACTAGTTCAACCTCTCTTGTTCTTACAAAGTTTCACCAGCTCTTCCACCACTCCATCCATCTCCTTCTCTCCCTTTTCTCTCAATTTCTCGCTCAATTCTCTTGCTTTCCTTCTCACAACCTCACCACTTTTCTCTACCACCACCCCCTTTATCACTCTTGCAACCTCTTCTCTGTTAAGCCCCCCACTATCATCTCTCTTTACCTCCACGCCCACACCAACCTCCTCTACCACCCTAGCATTCAGTGGCTGATCAAGTTGCATAGGCATGGCTATGATTGGCACACCACACTTAATACCCTCCATCACTGAACTCCAACCACAGTGGCTCACAAAACCACCAATATTTGAATGCCCTAGAATCCTAGTCTGTGGGGCCCAACCCTCCACAACCATCCCTCTCCCTCTTACCCTCTCAAGAAACCCCTCGGGCAGTGCCTCTTGAACCCTAATTTTCTCACCCACGGGAAACCTAACAACCCATATGAAACTAACATTACTGAGCTCCAACCCATTTGCTATCTCCTCCATATCCTCCCTACACAAGAAGTACTCACTCCCAAAGGAAACAAACACAGTGGAACCCTTCTCCTTCTTGTTAAGCCATTCAAAGATCTCCATTTTCTCCTCCTTAACAATGCCCTCCTGGACAAGAGGACCAACAGGTACCACCTTCTTCTCAATTTCCATAGAGAGATAATCGATGTACTTTCCTTCTAACTCTCTCAAACTCTTGATCAAGACAATGTCGGACGATAGTCTTGCGCATTCTTCAAGTCTATTGTGATCTTTGAGGCCATTTGAAGATGATTCATCACTACCCATAATGCCAACTCTCTCAAGATCTCGAATATATATCTCCGGGAATGGGAATTCAGAACTAGGGTTCTTGAAGAGATGGAAAATGAAGCAAGTTGATGCTGCACCGGGGCTGAGGAAGAGGGTTGCCGGAATGTTATGTGACAAGGCCACCTCCGGCGCCCAGGGTTGTAGGAAGTCATATATGAGCAAGTCAGGGTTTAGGGTTTTGAGGATGTTGGAGAAGGTAGGTTTGGACATGTCAAAGGCCTTTTTGAGGGTGGGCATGAGGTCGGGCGGGAGGCCATTGGTGGTGTGGTAGTGAGAGGGAAGGTCTGGCAAAGTTGGGAGATGAAGCTCTACTAGCTTGATTGAAATGGAGTCTTTCTGAGTGAGCTTTGGTTTAATGGAACTGAGATTGACTGGGGTGGAACATAGGTATATGTAGAAGTTTCTCTTTGGGAGTACCTTGGCTAGCTCTAGGAATGGAGATATGTGGCCATGAGCTAGCCATGGGAACATTAGGATGCTAATGGTGTTGCTCTGTCTAGCCTCCATGAACTCTCTTCTTCTTTTGATCTATCTATTCACATACACAATATGTATTTGTTTATATCATGTGCTGGATGACAACATATATATATATATACTTTGGCCCCTAGCTAGTTTGTTTGCTATGGATTAGAATACTAAGGGGAAAAAACGTGGCAGGTTGCAGAGACAAGCGTGGCAATGGAGGGAGATGTGGAAGAAGAAGAGAGGCTACAACGCATAATCACACATGCAGATAATATATATATATATATGTGTATATATATATATATAGAGAGAGAGAGAGAAAGTAAAGCACGTAAGCAAGAGAACAATACGGTTGTTAGTACAAACACGTATGTAAATTTGGGGTAGCTGTGTAACGGTCTACCATTTGAATTTGATCCTTTCTGGAATTAATCTTGGGTCCTCTCAGTGGGCTGCTATTGCTAGCCTTTAATGAAATTTACCTTTTACCTTTCAAAAAAAAAAATGTAGCTCCTTATCCTTATCGGTACAACTCTTCTGAAATTTTAAAATTATTCATTTGAAGCTTGAAAGTTTATATTGTTAGTTAAAACAAATATTCAAAATTAATAATACTTTGACAAATATACAATCTTTCGACATTAAATTCTCAAATCAGACATGAAATTTAAAAAGGTCAAAAATAAATAAGGAGTGAATGCATTTATTTAAAAATAAAAAAATAAACATTCTTCATTGTTGAAAACAATTTTTTTTTTTTTTTTTTTTTTTTTTTTCCCCCTTGATCAAACATGTATCGAAGCCAAATATCTGAATTCAATTTGCACATTAATTTATTTGAAACCCATAATAACTGTAATTCTTATTTATGCAAGATCTAATGATAAAAACCACCATTGATCACTAAGTAATAGTAGCAACAGTACATATTTTCACCACAATCAAAGTTCAACTTCTCAAATTGTGGCTTGAAATAATAATACAAGACTAAGAAATGAACTCGCATGGTGTGTTATTATCACTAACCTCACTACACTGGTTAGTTAAGCACTTTCTTTACACTAACATCGCTGCCTTAACATAACTTTGAAACAAATTAACCTTTCGCAAATGTGACCTAATTGTCTAAACCACTTGAAAACTTCACACCGGTCCCCGGCAGCCACGACCTCCCGTCAATGAACCCGACGGTGAAGAACTTAGCCACAGACTTGTCATTAATAATGTGATAACCGGGCCATCGGATCCGGCCCGATAACGAAGCACCGGGCCCATAATTCCTATACTCACCATACCACAGTGTGCTCAAAGCAAAGTCCCCATACCACTCTAGCCACCCTCTGGGCTGGACAAACCCACTCATGTAAGTGTTCAAAAACACAGTCCTGGAATATTGTTTCCAGGGCCGGCCCAAGTAAGTGGGCTTGGTGGCGTAAACATAGCTGTCTTGGATCACGAAGCCCGTGCTCTGATGTGGGTCTTTTCGGCCTTGGGCCGTGATGGTCACCTTTTGCAATGGCAGTGGTTCTCTAGTGAAAATCTTGCAGTACTGGAGGACGGCTGCCCCGTTGCCAAAAATGAAGTCTATGGTGCCGTGGATGCTGCATTCGCGGTAGAATTGGCGGAGGGAGTGGGCGTAGAGGGTGTCTTGGTAGCCTTCCATGCTGCACCGGTAGAATGCAGATTGGTCTGAATCAACCCGGAGCGCGACACCTTGGTGGTTTTGAGGTCCGGCCGTGTTACGAAATGTCATGTCTCTTGCTATGAATCCCTTTCCGGAAACAGCTATTGAAAACATAAAATTAGGAGAAGCTCATTACATGCAAAGAAATTAATTGAAAGCGCAATTTTTAAAAATCTTTTGAGACACTAGCCACAAAAAACATAGTATTAACTTATATACCACTTTGTTAGGCTAGTTGAAGTGATATGAGAACACATTTCAATTTTTAATAGTTTTGGGTTTTGTTGGCTTTTGGTATTATCATTTACTTAAACCCAGCCCAACCCCAACTAAGATGCAACCCGTGACTATTTTGTCACAGACCTACTAATATCAACAAAACACACAACACAAGGGCATTTTAAACATTTGATTACAAAATAGCCCATAGGACCAACATCCTTCCAACGTGAAGGTCTACAATACCCCAGGGTATTATATATGTGGTACCCTTAGCCAATGGACAAATATGAAAACTCCTAATTTGCCTTGATATATAAAAAAATATTAAGGATTTTTGTGTTTGTCTATTTGTTGGGTGTACCACGTGTAAGTAATCCGAAGTATTGTAGACTTTCTTTCCAACCAACCTGGTGTCACAAAGACTACTTAGATAAGTTTATGGTTCACCTCATAGACCCCACATCCACGGGGTACACGTGCTGGTTAAGTGTAACGGGTGGACGCTTGTCCATTTAACTAAAAGTTCAAATTGTTGGGTAGTGCTGTATACCTATCCATTTATACCCAATCACTTTCCCATCCGGATCTGATGTAAGAATGACACTTATTACATTCTCTCCCACCCAAACTCGCCACGCCCTCGTTGTGGTTCGGGCCACCATGCTTTTCGGGCCTGGCGTTTGGCTTGGCATCGGACCAAGAATTGGGTCTAACTTTAATACCAATTGTAATGGATGGGCACTTGCTCATTTACCCAAAAGTTCAAGCTGTTAGGTAGTGCTGCATACCCACCCATTCATACCCAATTATTTTCCCATTTAGATCTGATATGGGACAAATGACCCTTGTTACATTAAGTTATAAGCAATTTATTAAGCAACTATCTAAATTATTTCCGTGGTAATTAGTGAGACATGCCAAAGAATAAGAAAAATAATGAAGAGCTAGTATGGATAATTAGGTACTCACCAACTGTGGCAGTTCGAAATGTGGTCCATCCTTGCATGAAATTCCGATTACCAGTAACGACAGTGGCTCCAATTCCATCTCCAACAAGCATAACATTGGTCTTTTTCTTCTTCAAATCAATGTTCTCTCTATAAACTCCTTTCTTCACATAAATAATGTACCTTCTCTTACTATAACTCGGAGCTTCATAAATGGCTTGTCCGATGGAACGAAAATGGCCACTCCCATCCAACGCCACGATCGCGTCTACGTGCATTCCTTTCGGACTTGCAAAAAGGAGGTCTTTATCACCTTCTGTAAGCCATTTTGGATGATCATCCATAGCTTTGTTCATTGTGGTAGTATCATTTCTACGAGGTTTAAATGGTAGGCTATGTAATTGAGTGTACAATGTTAGGACATTGCTAATGAGCTGAGTGACTTGTGTTAGACTGCCTTTGATGAAGCTCTCTACGCGCCGGTCCGTGCCTTCAAACCCTTCTAGACACGTGTCTTGGTTGCTCAGCGCAGCACTGAGCCATGCTTTGAGGTCTCCTTCATAGTGGATGTTCTTTGAACCGGCTCGGATTTGCTTCATCTCGGCTAAGGACCAAGCCAACTCGGACACTGAGAAATCGAGCAGTTCCTTGCAGTCTTCAATCGCAATTTGCTCACGAGAATCAATTGATAGAGTGTTGAATTTTGTCACCATTTCAATGGCTAGTCTTGCCTCATTGAGCGTGGCCTCAAGCGCGGCTCTAAGGACCGAGGTAGGGTTTTGCTGGGAATCTAGGGTTTCAAGCCTTGATTGTATGTTTGAGAGGCATGAGTTTTGGTTTTCGACATTGTTACAAGCTTGGACGATCATGGCTTGCATGGTGTGGCTTTGGTCTTCTGAATTAATGGTTCCATTTGAGAGAGCTTCAATGAAATTAGGTAGAAGGACGAGAAGAAGAAGAAAATTGAGTAATGCCATTGATTGGGCTATGAGAAAGGAATGAGAAAGGAACACATATTTTGTGATCTTGTTATATGAGGAGTTTTTGCAATGTGAAGGGAATGCAGGGATTGTTTGTCATCAAAGAAAAGGGTTGTCTTTTGGAAAGATGTGTGTAACTTTGATATATACTTTTTCTTGTATCAAAGTTTACGTTATGCTTCCTTGCTAGGTGTGGGTGTAAAATTCCCTGCTTTTTTTTTTTTTTCCTTGTTGGCTAAGTAGTCTGATGGAAAATTTCCACCAGATTCTTGGTGAAGAATTAATTGGTCCACGTGCAACAATTTTTTATACACACACACACATACATACTTGGGTGACAAAGAATCTAACTTGCTTTGAACTTTTATATGATTTGCAAATTTTGAATGCCTTGCATTATTTAAGTCTGGACCACACTTTCGGTCCTACTCAAGGAAGAATACATTTATATTATATTTGGAAGCACCGAATCGACGAATTAGTTAAAACTTTGAATTCAATTTTCTCTTATCTCAAATTCAAAAGTATCGACTCGATGCTGTCAAACGTAACATTTCAGGTCTTACCAGCCTGGTGTGAGCTTATATAAGTTATTCTTGTTATACCTAGGATGACTTGTTTTTTTAGGATTCTTCTGTTGCCAATCAAACTGTAAGATTGACTTATCCTTTTTAATGGTTGTCATGTATGATGATGTATCATGTACAAAATCAAAATAATTGGAGACCTAAAGCTATTTTACTTACTAATAATCACCACATTTTGAATTAGAATTTTATTCTAATTTTATAATTGAGGGAAATTTAAGTTTATGGATCATACTTTATATTCGGTTAACATGGTATATCTTATTACATCAAATTGACATGCATAAGAAGAAAAATGTAAGAACATAGTGTGTGTGTGTGTGTGTTTTCACAGTAAACTAAATAAACATTCAAAGTATATATGCTGAACTCAATATTCTCCAGACTTGAGAAGGATGTCCAACAACAGTATTTAGGATTTTTTTAGTCCTATGAAAAATATTGATTCATAATCACAAGTCATAATCCGATTCCCTAACTGCCAAAGATTCCACATGTATTCATTAAGTTATATTTCAATATATTTATCTAAGATCCACATATATTGGCCTTTGGTAGTCTTGAAGTTACTGTTTACTATATTTTTTTTAAAGAACTTTTATTTTTTTCCTTTCCACAAAGCTGAACATGTTATATAACAGAAAGTTTTGCTTCCTTGCTAGGTGTGGGTGTAAAATTCCCTACTGTTTTTGTCTTGTTGGCTAAGTAAGTAGTCTGACGGAAATTTTCCACCACTTTGATTCATGGTGAAGATTCAAGAATTAATTGGTCCACATGCAACAATTATATATATATACACACACACACATATGGGTTGACAAATAATACAACTCACTTTGAACTCTTAAATGATTTGTAAATTTTGAATGTTGGTGAGCATTATTTAAGTCCAGACCTTACTTTTGGTCCTACTAAAGAATTCAAAGGAATACATTTATATTATATTTGAACGAACCGAATCGACAAATTAATTAAAACTTTGAACTCAATTTCCTCTTATCTCAAATTCAAAAGCATTAAATCAATGCTGTCAAATGTAACATTACAGGTATTACCAGCCGAGCTGCTGGTGTGAGCTTATTCAAGTTATTCTTGTTACACCTAGGATGACTTGTTTTCTAGGATTCTTCTGTTGCCAATCAAAGAGCAAGAATGACTTACCCTTTTTAATGCTTGTCATGTATGATGATGTATCATGTACAAAATCAAAATAATTGGAGACCTAAAGCTATTTTACTTACTAATCACCACATTTTGAATTAGAATTTATAATTGAGGGCAATTTAAGTTTATGGATCATACTTTATATTCGGTTTACATGGTATATCTTATTAACATCAAATTGACTTGTATATAATAAGAAAAATGTAAGAACAACTAGGCGTGTATCTGTGTGTGTGCGTGTGTGTGCGTGTGTGTGTGTTTTCACAGTAAACTAATTAAACAATCAAAGTATATATGCTGAACTCAATATTCTCCAAACTGGAGAAAGCTGTCCAACAACACTGTTTAGGAATTTTTTTTAGTCCTATGTAAAATATTGATTCATAATCACAAGTCATAATCCGAGTCCCCAACTGCCAAGGATTCCACACGCAATCATAAAGTTATATTTCAATATATTATCTAATATCCACATATATTGGCCTTTGGTAGTCTTGAAGTTATTGTTTACTATTTTTTTTTTTATACTTTCCACAAAGCTGAACATGTTTATAACAGAAAGTTCAAACCACTAATTGTGGTTATTCGAAGGGTTTTGAGGGTGGGAAAACCCTATATTACCCCAAAAATGAATAAATAATATCTACCAAGAAGTCTTTGCCTGTGTCTCCAATTATGTTGAATATATTCCTCTTTTTTTCTTTTTTCTTTCTTTTAAATTAAAGGCTACACTGGCCTAAAAAGAATGCTCTGTACATAACTGATAGTTTATTTGAAAGCTTAAAAGTGGGCAAAAAAAAAAACATCCTGTAGTTTTCTCAATTAGAAATTGCTTTTTTAAGTGAAGTGCAGTTTTGTAATCATTGATCATTAGAGATTCCAATCATTGTTATGGTTCTTATAATAATCTTCTAATTTGAAAAAGACATCAGAATATGTTAATGAATGTTGGATCACAAAAGATTAATGGCCTCTCTATTCATACTCATCACAGCTGCTTCATGTTACCACAATGACTCAATGTTGTGAAGCTTTGCAAAAGCAGCAACAAGAAAAGAAGAGAATCTAATTAATATATCAGAGTAAAAAGCTTCAGTATCCTTATCAGCCTCATTGAGATCCCTAAGCCCCTTATAAAGCTCCATGCAGTCTTCGTAGGCATGAGCACGTTTCGAGTTCTTCTGCACGGCCATAGCTTCCACTCGGATGCTCAAAGCAGGAAGAGCCGAATTGCAGCTACACCCCTCGGTTTGATCCTCTGTGAAAGCAACCGAAGACTCCCCATCCCACCTAGAACCCTGCTTACCAGTGCCAATAATTATGACAGAGTAAAGCAAATATCTCTTTATTTTTATTTTTATTTTTTGTAGAGCTAAGCTCTTTCATGGTTGTATTCTTCTACTTAAGGTACATCACACACTACAAATTTAACCAACTTTCTCATATCCCACTTTTCTGGTAACAATTACAGTTTCTTTCTAAGTTCTTATAACTATTGTCTATAGTCCATTTTTAAATCTTATCTTTTCCAGTTTAATGGTGATTATATAATTCAAAAAGTTAATATTGTGCATTGTCAACTTACCTATTATTCTCTCCTATCACTGGACAAAAATGTTATAATAAAGAAGTCTTAAATCTTAATATTGTGAAGTAAACTTCAGGTTCAGAAACAAATACTTGATCAAACTATTCTCATCACATTTTGATGTGAATTTCTTGAATACATCGGGGAAAGCTGCTTGAAAGTTAATTCAAACATAAATCCCTCCATTATATTGCAGAGAAAAATCAAAGTTCGTATCTGCTAATCCAAGAGGGATATATAAGTTCATATCAACATGTACATATCAATTTTGCATGACAAAACGGCATTATAAGTGGTCTGCAGCCATCCCCGGAACTATTTTACTTTGTAATTGTTTCTTTTTGGCAATGCAAAAGATACTAAATGGTACCACTCTCAAAGATGAAGGACACATTGTCTAATTTCGCCTAATACCAATAGCCCATTAAGCCAACCTTACGAAATTCTTTCATGTGTAGGTCTTAATTCAATAAGAAAATTCACTCACCCTAATGCAAACAATTTACATCTCAATAATTCCCCGAATCATACTTCTGTTTTCTATCTTAGTCCGACATGCATGCTTATGATGAGACACATTTGGAAAAAGAATAAAAGAAAAAGATTATGATAGAAATGAAGGAGCAAATACCTTGCTCTTTTTTGTCACAACTATTTTGACTAGTAATAGGATGAATTTGCTGAGATGAAGGAGAATTGTGAAAGAAAAGACAAATGGCAGAAACATCGTCTGTTGCAATACCATGCCTCTTGCGTTTCCATGCTTGGACAGCGCATTCAACCAAACATTTAGCTGACTTTGCTTTTTCTGGTGCGGAAGATACAATTTGCACTGCTTCTTGATTGGAGATAACATCCCATACCTTAACAGAACATAAAAACTCTTATTAGCTTTCACTGAATTGTTCGTTTATAAAGCAAAATATACTCTGAGATAAGAAACAAATTGAAAGAATGGAAAAAGAAAACATATTGTCTGTATAACTGGTATCACAAATATTGAAGTGATGAATGTCAATTATGTTCGTGAGTTTGAAACGAATTCGTTAGGCTGATCTTTTACAGGTTTTGGACATTTAATATAAAGAAACAAACATGTATTTTTCTTTTTGTGGTTGTATAAAAAATGACAAGTGATAAATACCAAAAAGTGTTATACATACCCCATCTGTTGCCAACACAACAAACTGGTCTCTGCTGGTTATATGTCTTTGACTCACTTCAGGGACCGAAATAAGTCCAAAATCCTTTATGCAGTAGTCCCCAAAGGCTCTAGACATCGCCAGTCCGGGCCATTCCTCATCCGGTAGCCAGATTCTGTGCACCCCAGGCTCGTCATTTAAACTGAACACTCTCCCTTTGCACTGATTTATCCGTTCAGCCTCCTCTGTCGAACAATGTTGATAATGTAAACACAATGTTCATAGAATTTTCGAGAGACATAGAGAAGAATGAGGAAGAGAGAGACTCACGGGGTAGATTGGGCTTGAAATCAACAGTAAGCTGAACTGGAACCAAGCTGCCATCATCTGAAGTGGTAGCCAATACAGCACGAGAATCACCCACATTTGCTATGAATATATGTTCACCCTAAAAATATCAATTTAGGATAATAATAAGATCAGTTCTGGTACAAATTTTGGGTAAAAAATTATCTGCAACAATTCTCCATTAAAAAAAAAAAAGAAAGAAAGAGTCAATTGCTTCCTCTCCTACGTGTTTTATAGAGTTTCAAAAAATTCTTGATTGTAGTCGAGAATGGAAAACAGGGAAAAAAATTCCTTATCACTTCCTTATCTGGTAATTCCATAAATTATAGAGTAAGCAGCATTTTAATGGCCATTAGCCAGCATAAAGCCGAGATGCATCAACCTTAATGTTGTTCCCTAATAATTGACCGTATTCTCTCTAATGACCAAGTATGAGGCATTTAGAGCTCTAACGAAAGTTCTGTTCTTCCTTTTATTTTAGTTACTGCATTTTTATATTAGATACTTCTAAAAGTCTCCATATATTTTAGCATATTTGAACTTCATAGAAAGTTCTGTCCTCCTTGAATGTCACATATTACCTTGCGATGATGCAACATACTATTTTCAAGAAAATTCTAGTCACCAATTGCTTTTCAGGAGCCTATCAGCAGCAAAGTAGGTAACAAGATTTTTGACTTATTAAGCAAAAAGAAATACTTTATTTGCATTGCAACAGGAGGCATAGATTAGCATTACTGGATTAATTTACATTTAGGAACTCCCTTTACCTGTCTGACAATTGTCAACGCGGTGGTTCCACTGTAGAATGAATCAATTTGACCATGGCTCTCTAGCTCCTGATCAACGGCAGCACAAGTCTTCAAGTAGGATTGCTTCCATATATTAAACCTGTGAAGCTTTTTATCGGAATCCATGTCAAAACCGGAGTCGAGTGAAGTTTCAGCTAGAGTCTCCTGCCAAGTGCACAACAAAGACAATGGCAGTGATTCCCTAACCGTCTTCGACACATAATGTCCCCATTGTCCGTGCCCATCAAACATCCCACAGAACATCATGTCTTCTTGGCATCCAAATTCCTACCAAACAAACAGAATTTACATCTATCAATTTAAAAACCAAAATTTTCCGCATTTTTTGTATCTCCCTTCATAAACATCTAGGGACAGACTAAAAATGAGCTGCATTTCGCGGACAAGCATAGATTAAGAACATAAAATTGACACATATTTTTGTATCTCCCCAAATAAACATCTAGTACAATCTAATACTGCTAAAAGAAGAGAACAAAACAAATGAAGAACATTGAAGCTCGTAAAATGAGCTACATTTTCTCGGAAAATTAACCATAGACTAAGAACATAAAATTGCCAATTGTTTTGCAAGCATACCTCCCACACAACGAAGCAATCTTGGTTCACTCCTTTCTGGCCTCTTTTGGAGAAAACCGATGCAAAATTGTTCGATCCATCAACACTGACAGTTCCCGAAGACCGCAATATCAAGTTGTTCTTCTTCGCTTCCTTAACCATAGCCTCTGCAGCCTCTTTTCCACCACAATTCCCAGAATCGTTGTGCCCTTGCTCGATGCAAAATGCCCTTCTCAGTTCACCGAACATGGACGAAAACTGCCCCATTTTCACACCCTCTGCAATTCAATTTCCACCACAATAAGGTAATTTTTTCACACACATAAACACACAACACACACATAATTGTAATCATGTAATGCATATGTTGAATGGAGTTATATTTAGCTGACTACAAGAGGTTATCTGAGTCAAAGAGGTAAGATTCTCAAATTTGGAAAGAAAAAGAAAAATAATAATAAAAATTGAGCTTTCTGTGTTGGGAAAAATCAGAGAATCTTCAGTTCTTACATGGATTTCCAATAGTATATGCATGTGACTACGTTTAGTGTTCAGAAAAATGTATGAAAAGAAAAAAAAACAAACTATTCAGTTCCCAAAGAAATAAACTATAAAATTAAAAATACTGTGCGATTTTACATATAAGATTCAAAACTTTCTTTTTTCTTTTCCTGCCTTTTCACGGCAACCAATCAGGGTATTGTTGCAATAGGAAAAGCAAACTGATTCGGTGAATAAAACCCAAAATTCATGTGAGATATATATTTAAAGACGCTAGTGAAGTTGATGTTGGAGACGACCTTGTTTCTCAGGCAAATTTGGTCGGAAAGTGATGAAACTACTAGGCCGGAAAGTGACAAACTCGCTGGAAGTTTGCTGCTCTTTGCCGGAATCTGAGTAAATTTTGACGGGTGAAGCTGAGGTTTGGAGATTTTTTATTTAGAGATGTATCACAATCCATTGTTTGGTTATATTGTGGATTTTTTTCATCCAAGGAGAAGAAACTTGGACGGTGTGTTTTTTTTTGTACACAAAGACATGTAGTACAATACACATACACTGTGTGTGTATTTTATGGTCTGCAACCCGAAGAAACGGTCCTTTTTCTACCTGTGCTTCCGTTGTCTCTAGTAGACTCTCTACCATCTCAATCACGTAATAAATGACATAATTATTCTTCAAACTACATTCAAACACTACAATATGAGAAAAATAATCATCTCACAATCTATAATTTTAAATAAAATTTTACATTATGCATGTCGGCTAACTTGTAAAGTTTGAAAATGCCTCGATAACTTAATGAGTTAGTGCCTTAAATAAATTTTGGAATACTAAGTTTTAACTCTTTACATTTACTAATTTAACTTTTAATCTTTCTTACTTTTGTTAAAAAAAATAAAAAATCTTAAAGTTTTCATTATTGCTTTGCAAGGCTTAAGAAAGTCATATGTATGTGTCAAACTGTTTAAACATGTGATTTTCATATCACAATGAAATAAAAATAACCATGTACATGGTGTACTTTGTTATACAAAAAAATATAAGTAATTTTTTTTTTACTCCGCACCCTCAACATTGAATTAATATGATTTTGCATATAATTTACAATATTGATATAAACTTAGACGGTAGGCATTCGGGTGGCTTAACATAATTCTTTCTTTAATTCTTTCATTTCTATCAGAAGTAATGTTACAATTTTTTTTTTTTTTTTGGTAGGTAATCCAGATACATGGTTTATATTTAATTTTAATTGGTACCATGATTTTAACAATTTATTTGAAAATACCAATCTTCTAAAAGTTTTAATTCCTTTCAAATTAACATCTTGAATCTAAAATACTCTTCTAATTATTAAAACATATTTAAATTGACAAAAACTTCCAAAATCAAGAATTCAAAAACTTTCTCTGCATGCACACTTAAGGGTTTCCCAATTCCACTCTATCATGTGGCACATTTGTGGTGTTTCCAAAACAAACAAACAAAAAATAATGCTTTAAAATTTCACTCATATATATATATATATATATATATATATATATATATATATATTGCCAAATTAAGTAACAACATTGAATAAGCCAACTGATTCAATAATTTGAAGAGCATATATAGGGTATAATATTCAAAAGGGTACAAAGATTATAGTGATATAAAATATGTTTTTTTATTAAACATGACACAACATTTATATCTTAAATAAACACCGTTGGCTCTCTTTTTTTCCTTTTTCTTTTCCTGTTGGCTCATTCTTATTATAAGTAAAAGACAATGTGCGTCAAGGAGTTGAATTTGGAACACAAAAACCTATATAAACACACACACACACATATATATATAATATATATATATATATATATGTATAATATGATGGTGTTTAGATTTTTAGTACATTAGAAGATAAATAAATAAATAAAACGTGCTTTTCAGAAATTATTTAAATACAAATTAGAATATTAATGTGTGGTACAGCTTTGGTTGGCGGAACAATGTTGAATTATTTTTATCACAAGCTTCTTTTATTAACAAACTACCAAACTTACCCAAAATAAAAATAAAAATAAAAATAAAAAATAAAAAATAAAAAATAGAGAGGCACACCTCATGACTATTGAATTATTCTTTTTCTTGGGGGTAAAAAAGAATGAAGGTCCACGTTTTACAATGCTCATTTGTTTAATATTTTATTTATTTATTTATTTATTTTACCTGTGGATGGGGTATTTTTTGTTTGGTTTGACAGGGAGATTACGATACCATTAATTTAATAGAACAGTAGGGAGATTATGATATCTTACAAGTGCTAATATTTCAATTAGCAACATAATCTGAAACCCATAAAACAAATATGGAATGCAGCTATGTATATTATGAATGTAAATTAAAAACATACACTATTATTGGAGAGATGGCTAGCTTATTATTTTGAAAATATAGGAAAGCCAGCCAAAAATGACATTGCATGCATGTGATGATTTATATCTTGTCAAGTGTTTGAAAAGAGAAAGAAAAATGATATTCTTTTCCGATTTAGTGATTCCATCCTTTGAAAACATGAAAAGAGAAAGAAAAAAGATATTCTCAAAAAAAACATTACTCAAATGAAAATTGATCTCCAATATAGTCTTCTCGCATTATGACTGTGGTACGATAAAAATTATTAAAATTATAGTTAGTCTAACTTTTATTGTACATATTTTTTTCATTGATGAGAATTATATGGACAGAAAGAGACCGAAATCTCATCACCTTTCAAAATAAAAACAAAGAGTTAGTGTTGAGTTGCAAAAAAAAACTTAGAATTATTGTTCATAAATTTTCTCACAATGCCAATATATGTATATATATAGCATGATTGTGGGGAGCTGACTTAATTTGGCTTATGCAAATTTGATTTGATAAGTTAGTTTGTTACAAGATCATTTAGAGATAAGAATGTGTATATCTGATACTCTTCAGATCTTACGATGACAAAGTTCCATCCTTTCAATTTATTACAAAGTGTTCGTGTGTCGTATAAGTGCACATAATATTTCTTACTCTCTGTGAGGACCTAAAAGAAAGACATGGAATAACATTAGTGAGGGAATGTTGCTCATGTTTTTATGCCCACACCTTTTAGATAAATATAACACACATAAATTTTTGGGAAAATTAAATATAAATGGAGTCAAAGTTCCATATTTACTTAGAGAATGAGTCAAAATTCCATATTTTTCTAAAATGGATTGCTGAGGTGGCACATGATTTTTTACTATTTAAAAAATTATGATGCCTAAAATGCCCTTCCCTAACAAAAAAGTAGTACCTTCAGTTCAAAAAAGTAATACCTTCAGTTCAAAAAAGTAGTACCTTCGGAGAAAAAGTAGTACTTTCGCAGGTGTTTAAAAAACATGGTACCTGGACGCCAAAAAGTAGTACCTTCGCAGGTGTTTAAAAAACATGGTACCTGGACGCCAAAAAGTAGTACCTTCGCAGGTGTTTAAAAAACATGGTACCTGGACGCCAAAAAGTAGTACCTTCAGTTCAAAAAAGTAATACCTTCGAAGAAAAAGTAATACTTTCGCGGAAGGGTATTTTAGGCACCACAATTTTTAAACAGTAAAAAATTATGTGCCACCTCAGCAATCCATTTTAGAGAAATATGAAACTTTGACTCAGCCTCTAAGTAAATATGGAACTTTGACTCCATTTATATGTAATTTTTCCTAAATTTTTTACATTTATAGTATAATAATAATAGAAGTAATGCTCTTAAAATGACCCTTTCACGAAAAGAGTTATCAATTGTCTTTTTATTTTTAGAAAAGAATCACACAATGAAGCCACCAACTCTTATCTCTTCATTTATCCCGATGTCACTCGGGAGATAGGGTGGAAATCGCAAAAGGACCCCGTCAAGCTGTCTAGCCAGAAGCCAGTGTCTCTACCATTGCCAAATGTTGTGTAACGAAACTCTCGAATTTTCCTTCAACTCCTAGAGCAAGAGTGTGACATCTTCCAAGTGCTCCAGATATTTCTATTCTTTATAAGATATCGCTTGCACTACTTGATCCAATTTGCTTAATCTTTTGAAGAGAAAAAAATATATAATAAAAAATAAAAATAAAAATAAAAAATTCTTATTTTTAATTCATAAAATTAAATATAAAAAACTTGCTTAAAAACATTACTCTAACAATAGAAGTCAATTAAGACAACAGGCAACTGGGCAAGTACATGCACTATTAATTCCAATTGCAGGTCACTTTCCCACAAAGACCATAATGGCGCAAGACACAAATTCTGGAATGAAAAGAATACCACATTAATTACATACTCAGGTTTCAGTTTGGACACTAATGAAAGACAAGGATAAGTTTTCTACATTTATTTTGTCGGATAGAGTGGTGCTACTAAAGTTGGACGGTTCAGACACCAGGTTCTATATTCTCCAAAATATCATAGAACGGAGTATTTTTTTTTTAACAAAATTCCAAATTAAAAAAAAAAAAAAATCTTAAATAGTATATTCACAACATCTTTATAAATTATCTAAGATATTTTTCTATTGTGGCTGATATCTTCTTTACCTCATTAGATGGTGAAAATATGTGTTTCTTGTCAACAAAATTAAAAATAAATATATATATATATATATAAAAAAATGTGATATTTCTATAAATACATAAATAGAGGATTATCTTGTCAAATTAAGCTTAAAATAAATTTGTTACTATTGAAAAGGAATAAAAAAATAAAATCCCATGAATAAATATTATTAATTTTTTTTAACAAATTAGTAAGAATTGTTCTTTTTCTTTTTCTTTTTTTTTTTGTCAGAATGCGTGGACTTGCTTGGTTTGTAATTATGAAAACAATTTTCTGTTCCTGAAAAACTGAAAATAGAAAACTGTACAAAATACTCTACTTGGTTCGATTTTTTAAAAATTTAGTTATAAAAAATATTATTTTCAAATAATAATCTTTTATACTTCTCTAAAAATAATTATCTGTTTTTTGAACTTCTGAAAATAATTTTCAGATTTACGAATAAGTATACCCACATATATTTCTCCCAACACTCAGCCTCAAAATTTTTTTGCATGAATCCGGCGCTCACAGAAGTGATGAGAACCATTAGTGGGATTCACTTTTTGTAAGTGTGGTGCATGTACTATCGGATTCACAGAAGTTTTTCTCCTCTCCAGAATAAGAAAATTTTATATAGTAATTTAAGAAAATTTATTACATAATCACCAGATTCACAACCTTTCCACCATTAATTAAGGATTGTTAAAGTCATGAATGACATGTCACATGAGCCATGTTTGGTGGGCCACATTTCAAATTTTATAATCATACATTAACACGTTGGGCGTTCATATAAGCAACCAGAATTCACTGTTAAAACAAAAGATTAGATACTGGGCCGCCTAACCCAAGGACCCACCATGACACAAACGCGTTTAGAGGGGTTATTTTCGATTCGTCTCATTGAATTTGAGTTTTAAAATTAAAATAGATAGAATTAAGGAAAAAATAACTTACAAAATTATTATTATTATTATTATTTTATTCTATCAA